TGTCAAAGGAAATTAATTTCCCGGCTGGCTTGTGTTTTTCTCTGAGGCAGATATTGATGAGTGTGCAGAGGGGATCATTGAGTGTCACAACCATTCACGCTGTGTTAACCTCCCAGGGTGGTACCACTGTGAGTGCAGAAGCGGTTTCCATGACAATGGAAGCTATTCTCTTGCCGGGGAGTCCTGTGTTGGTAAGCAACGATCAGCAGAGCCTGGTTTTTATTTTATTTTTACCTCCTTGGTGCATGGTGTGGCTCAGGGCAGTGTGGGTGCACGGAGCGTTTCTGTGTCGCTTCGGTTTGCTTGTTCTCCATTTCTCAGCATCGTCATCCTTTTATTTTTTGGAGTTACGCAAATAACATCAAATTCTCTGTGGAACAAGTTTGCAGAATGAGGCCCCAAGAGCATTAAAGGGTGCAGAGGAGTTTGTCATTGTTTTTGTGGGAGGAAAGGGATGAGGAGGCTCCATGAGGTGCTGGCTCCCAGTCTGCGTGCCCTCGAGTGGCTGTAGGGCTCGGGGTGCCACTACAGCAAGAAAGCAGCACTAAAACCAGAGTGGAGGTGGTAATTCTGCCTTACCTCTGCCTTACAGCTTTGCCACCTTTTCAGTTATTCGCCTTATGAATAATTTCAGTGTGGTATTTTATCAGGTGAGTTTAAAACTGTTCATTGGAGATCCTCTTTTGGCTTCTKTAGAGACACAGATCAGCTGCTCACAGTGTTATGTCTTTTCTTTGGAATTTCAGTTGCTTCATCTCCAGTCAGTCATATGAGTTTTCTATAAAAGATCTTCTCCTTTTGTATTGTTTTATTGTCTTTTTTTTTAATGCTGTCAATTTCATTTATCATGGCCATAACTTCAAAGGGCGTTCTCTAAAATTTCGAGTCTATATTCAAAATAAAACTTAAAATAACAATATGTAACAAAAAATATATTAATTTACTTGTAACTTYTAAAAAACATTCCCACCTTTAATGAATTCTGGCTGTTAGAAGTCCTCAGGGTACAGTAGTATCATGATTTAAAAATGCAGAGGAACGATAATTTTTTTTCAAAGCAATATTTTGTGGATTGTCCAGCTATATTATCTTTTTACACATTGTCCTAAGCTRATGGGGAGCTCAACAAAATCATGGCAGTGAACTTCTTCAGAGGGWGGCTGTTAAAAAMYGGCARATTTTACAACATTCCATGACTTCAYRGATGAAATAGATGAAAGATGTGTATTTCTRAACGAATTCTCAAACGTTAGGAGTTCTCTGGTTTATTTGAATGTTGTAAAGTGAGTGATGAAGGGAAAGAAGGTGGAAACACCTTCTCTAAGAGTAGTCAAGGCAACATGACACGAACTCCAAAAAGGCATTTTTGGCCTTYCTGGTGCTCACTTGTAGCTCTCACCTGGGGAGTCCTATCCCTCCTCAGTTTGTGAAAAGGCTGYTCCTGTTTGGGAAGTTTGGGCCAGGCTGATTTCAGGAGAAGACAGACASAGGGAAAGCTGTGAGTGACCCACAGGAGGGCTCAGCTGTGGGAATGGTCAGCACTGCGTGGACTGAGCAGCTGCTGGAGGGTTGGAAAAGAAGCCCCAAATGCTCTGGAAGGATCTGATTCCATGAAAACACACTGCCCTCATTCTGACCTGCACAACGTCCTGGAAGGTTGAAAGTTGCTCATCTTGCCACGTGCAGTTTTTAAACAGAAWGTGAAATTAGTGGGGTTATTTTCATGAAATAGTTTCTCTGAACCATCTGCTGCAGGGTACCACTGAGAAAGGGAATACACCAGTTTGCTTCGCCAGTGTAATGAAATAAAATAATTAAAAATTAGTTGGAAGGTTCTGCTGACCCACACTGACGCATTTCAAACCGTGATGTTTATTTTAAATGGCCAAGAACTGGTTAAAACAACAGAGAGATAACAGTACACGTTCCAGCTAGTACATCACATTGCAGAGCTTTTTTGCATGGTGAAATATTTAGAATCAGGACCAGTGTCTTTCACTCTGTTTCAGATAAAAGAGGGTTAATCTGCTTAGCAACAGCGGTTTTTTTTCCTGGTGTATTAAATACTGAACTTAGATTGTTTCCATGAGGTGGGTATGAGCCATTGTCTTTCAGTGTGTTTTGAAACATTTCTTCTTCCATCCTGAAGGACAAACTTGGAGAACAATAAATAGGCTAAAAACATGAATAAAATAAGATTAAACCCTCCCCTACAAAACAAGAACAATAACAATAAATACTACTACTATTAATAATAAAGAAAAGAAGGTCACAAGGCAGTGGGAGGGAGCACTCATCTCTGACAGATTGCCCGAAGCCCAGGCAGCCAGTTGCTTTTGCTAGATATATTTATGTATTTATTTTTTGGTTAACCCCTTTTCTCTCCATTTTCATGTAGGTGGTCTAGGAGCTGAGTCATTGCTTGCACTGTCTCTGCARTGCTAGCAAAACATTCAGAAAAATAGCATCTATTTGGGAAGTGTGATAGCCCAGTGCTTCTAAAAGCTCTGTTCTCACTGACTRGGAGAAAACAGTGAAGTTTGTCACCTGGCAGATGTGTAAATCAGTGGATGTGGCAGGAAAGGTCATAATATTGCACCAGAGCTTGGGTAATAAGGATGTGTGGCTTAGCCAGGCTCCTTCAAGATTGGGGAAATTCTTTTATTGCTCAGAATGTCAACCAAAGACAGCTTTTATCAGAGATGTCAGCTTCATATAGTGACGGTGAGCAGGCTGAAATTAGAAGAACATAATTTGATTTCCCATTGTAGTGTTTTTTCTATGAGGCACTGGTCTTTCACAATGTGTTATTAARAATACTGCTTGCAGACAAAAGACAATTGCTATACAAAGTTGCTATACCAAAGTTTTCTTGGCAATTAAAACCTGTAAGGCTGCAGCAGCTGTGTTGCTTGTTTGTTTGTTTTTGGGGGTTTTTTAAAAATTTTGTAATAAGAGACTTGCTGAACTCTGAGGTAAAGACAATACTTCATAGAGAATGATTTGTCATGTGATACAGTATTTATGACTACTGATTTAAAAATAAAAAAAAAAAGCAAAGCAAATTATACTTCTGAATTTTTTCATCTCTGAGATGCTTCCAGTCTGTAGAGTGCTGTTCAGACCCTGGAGTGCAGATTTACTGATTCTGTTTTTTTTTCTCGATGATTTCTGTTTCTGGGTCCCTACAATAGGACTTGGCACGCACAGAAMGAACAACAACCAAGGCAGCAGTGCCTGTCAGGTTTTGTTCAGTTTTTGCTGTAAGAACCACTACAAATTTTGTAGGGAAACTTGATATGGATCCTTTTCCCACCAAAACCCTGTAGGATCCACTGTTTACTTAAGGCTGAAAGGTGGTGTAACTGGACCTCACTGCAGGATTAGAGTTGCTGGGTTGGGGAAATAAGAGCTGGAAAAAGGTCAGACTGAGGAGCTCGTGGGAGAAAACTCCACAGTCTCCCACAAAAGCTGGGTGCTGCAGTGCTTGGAAATTTGAGGAGAGGGACAAATTTAATGGGTTTCAAATCAGTACTTGAAGCTTTCATATATTCCATATTACGCTGCAGTGGTGTCTCTTACCTAGATTAGAAAGTAAAAGCAAAGGAGGTTACGTTTTGTTTATTTTTCTCCCTCTCTGTGTTATACCCAAAGGCAGACTCATCCTTTGGAAATTTCCCTCTTTGCCTGAGAGTTGCTTTCCTGTCTGTTTGTAGAGAAATGCTACATGGACAGAGTATCCAAGACCAACGGGAACCTGCTATTTTACAACTTTCATCTGTTCTGCTTATAGAATTTCTTAAAGCTGACAATATCAGAGTTGGTGTCAGTGGATTTTATCCTGTAAAATAAAGATTATCTTGCTTTCCATTTAGTAAATTCTAATTCTTGTATTCTGACAGCAAGTTGTGTTGCATGTCTTCAAGGCAATTGTGATTAGTCATTTCTATACTTTTAGAGAGCTTTAGTAAATCCTRTATTCAAAATCTAATTTACTATGCAGTTTTCTTTAATAGGCCTTTATGTCTCTATAGAATAGAAGTACTATCATAAAATATTTTCTAGCTAAAAATGAATGTTTGCTGATGGTTTTTTTCAGAGACAACTCCAAATAACTTTGATTTCGAAAGAAGGCAAAAAATCATTAAGTGATAAGTTGCCTGTGAAAAATGATTTGTCAAAACAGTGTTTAGTTAACTTGTACATACATTGGTTTGGGAGCCCAGCACACATTTTTCATATTAGCAATATACTGTAATGGTTTAATGTACCATAACAGTTAAAATTAGCACATTAGTGGGGTTCTTCCTCCTGCAGCAGCTTATCATGATAATACAGAGCATTGYGCTGCATGGCTTGCTTGCACACGTRTATTAAGGTGCTACAGAAAAGTTTCACAATTAAAACCTGAATAGCCCTGAAAGCTAAGAAATGAAGTGGCTGGAAATTGATTTGAAATTTCAGTGAAACCAAGTTAATGAACTTGTGTTGATATGTACAGTCATGCTTGCCTTCTACCCCATTCAAATGCAGTGGCCATGGGACCTCTCAAGAAATCTGAGGCAAATTACTTCTCATTACAGCCACAAAGGATGGAAAAGGAAATTGTATCTCAGGGGATTGTTTGCTTCCATTTTGATTCTGTTTCTTTGTCTGCCCACATTACCGAGCTCTCCATGCACTTGGAGGCTATATTGGAAATGAGCACCTCATGGGTGGTTTGTTTTCTTCTTTCTCTCCCCCACACGATGTGTCTGGTTGGTAAAATGTGAATGGTCAGGCACTGATGGCTGTGCATCTGTCTGGGGAAGCAAAGGATGGAGTGTTTGAAGAGTGAGGATCTCCATCAGTTGGATGATAGTCGGTGTGTCTGGGCAGCAATCATTGCTGCTGGCCATATGCTGTTGGTAGAATATAGAATAATAGAGAATAGAGAATATAGARTAKAGAAYAKARWATAKARWATAKARWAKAKRRWATRTAGAATATAGAATATAGAACAGAATCTAGAATATAGATGAGAATAGAGAATCGAGAACAGAATCTAGATAATAGAATAGAATAGAATAGAATAGAATAGAATAGAATAGAATAGAATAGAATAGAATAGAAAAAACATAATATAGAATACAGAATAGAAAACAGAATATAGAACACAATATAGAATAGAGACTATAGAATATGGAGTATAGAACGGAATATAGAATAGAATAGAATAGAATAGAATACTGAATATAGAATATAGAATACAGAATAGAGAATAGAGAATAGAGAATGTAGAAGATAGACTATAGAATATGGAATAGAATATAGCGTATAGAACAGAATATAGAATATAGAATGTAATAGAGAATATAGAAGATAGCATAGAGAATAGAGAATATAGAGTACAGAACACAGAATATAGAAAGAATGTAGAATATAGAATAGAATAAAAATACAGAATATAGAATAAATAATATAAAACTATATAGAATATAGAATATGGAATATAGAACAGAATACAGAATATAGAATAGAATATAGAACAGAATGTAGAATATAGAATACAGAATAAAATACAGACTATAGAATACAATAGAGAATAGAGAATATAGCATAAGGCTTTGCAGTACAAGCAGGTTTCTGCTCAGTATGGGTGTTTCAACCATATTCTCACTTGTCCTTGACAAGGAACTGTGTGGAGGGGGAAAGGAGAGCTCTGGCACTTTTACTTGGGTTTATTGAGTAGTTTTTGCCACAGGTAATCTCAGTATAATGAATAAAATTGCAAAATCCTATTCCAGGTGTGAAAATCAGATTATTTCCATAGTTGACACGATACATGAAAGAACTAATCCCCCCAAACATAAAGGCAGACATTGTTCTTGTCCCTTACATATAGGGAAAGAATAGAGACTCCTTGCTATTTTCAGTGTTCTTCAAAGTTGCTTGATTTATGAATGAATCTTTTATCTCCTTCCTCCTTCATGTTGTTATAATGGGAAATGAGATTTTTGCACAGTTTTGTCTTGCCTGTCATTAAATRTTCCAGTTTGGGGACTGCATCTTCTGGGAACAGTTGTGGGAAAGCAAATGAAACCTGAGGGGATGTGGGGAATTTGAGCTAAGCAAGGACTTGAATGCAACAGAAATAATCTAAATGCAAAAGTATTGTCATAGTTTTCACTTTCACTAAATGATTGTTTTGAGCATGTTCAAAATTTTAAACTAGGTAAATKTTTCAACACCTAAGTGAGCACATTGATTCCAGTTGTTAAGAGAAATTTCAGACAAATTGCAAGTATTTTCTTCCATGCTTTGCATGGCCATCTATGCTGATCTCACACTGATATGGCCATTTGATCTCCATTAAAATGAAATACTTTTTGTAGCTAACTGAGAGCTAACAATGTGGGAGCATTTGGCTGGGTTTTTTCCTTCCCCACCCTCCCAATCTGGCTTAAGGATGAAGGATTGATAGGGACAAAAACATYTTATGTTTCTAACTTTTTTTTCCTCAAGTTACTGGGRATGTTGACTGTTTGTCTGACTTTARGAAATGCAATCGGTGATGACAAAAAATCTTCCAAAGGGATATATTCAGAAAATTGTTTGTGTTGTCTCTTCATCTGAAAATTAATGCAGTGTCCAAGCCTGTTRTATCTGACTAATGACTAAAACTTTCAAATACTAGATGCCATAAAAAAAAAAAAAAAATGTTATTTGCATGAGGAACCAAAAAGCTGCRTAGCAATTAGGAATTCAGGCTCATGCTTTGATTCTTTGTCAAGATTCTCCCATTTACCAATTTGGGCTGCTCTTAATGGGGCATCCTTTTTATGTGTGCTAAATGGAGAGCAGCAGCAGAGGTGCATAAAGAGGGGGTTCTTCCCTCCCACATGTGCAGGAGAGATTAAGTTGGCTTTGTGCAGTGTGAGCAGRGCTGTGCTGCTGAGAACATGAATAATGTTAGTTTCTATAATTGCTAACATCTGGCTTTGCATAAATCTGTTAAATCACAKGGAAACTGAATTCGATTTCGGTGTCATAAGTAAAGCAATTAARTGCAACTCTGTAGGGCAATATGACCTTATATTCATCTGTGAAATCCTTTTAGTTTTGARCTGTGAAAGCTACCCTTCTAGTCTGCATTGTTATTCTGCTGTATCCCATGCAGATTAYAGTCAAGGAGCTCCAAATGTGGCAGGGAACACAATATTGATGRTCCTTGTTGAAACCACCGAAGGCAAAGTGAATGCTTCATTTGTGCCTTTGTTTTCAACAAAAAATACAAGTCAAAGTCTTTTGAAAGGAAAATGGGATATCTTTAAGAATGTTTAAAGTTTTACATTAGTTATTGGGATATAATTCATGTGATAGCAGTTCATTCATAGTTCTCTTCATGTCTGTCTTCAGGTTTTTACTTGCTGTGATAACTCTGGCACTTGTTAAATAATGAACTACAAATTTTAATTTCTCTCAGTGCTGCACTTTTACACCACCAGTAGTGGGTTTTTCAAGTACTCAGTTATGGCTAAGCTGTGCACTGGAGCAATATTGTTCCTTTCTGGCAATTAAGACTTTGAGGACAGGAAAATGCACCGTTTTTAGGCAAGTCTGAATGACAAGCAACTGAGTCGTGGCCACTGGGAACATTTCTGACAAAGGTCTGGCCCACAGCTTAGTCCAGCAGTGAAGCCTTTCTGCTGTGGAATTGCCTCCACCTTCCCTTTGGATCTCTAAGCACAACGAGGAGCAGTCATTTTTTAGCAGCCCAAAGCTCTGACTCTGTTGTGCAGACTGATTTTTGCATCTCATCAAATCCAAGGCATGACCACGTTTCCACTTGTTCCAGGACTGTTTATGAATTGAAATTAGGAGTTGTTCTATCCAGACCAGACTGAATTTTGTGACCTGATTGTTATAAAGAGTTTCCTTCACCAAAATGAGAGAACTGGTAAAGTCTTTTTAAGAGAGGATGTTTTGAGGTGATGGCTCATGAACCTGTGGCACTTGTCCAAAAAGTGGGGCAACTGGCCATCATATTCCACCTGAATTCAACTTTAGGTAATTTTTGTTTGTAAATTCTTTTGAATTTGTTGGTTTAGAGATAATTTAAATGTACTGCCTGGTAATACTGAACTGTTCAAATTTCACAGTAGCGATAAGGTCATTTCAAATGATAAGTATGATGGTTCTTCCTTGTAATTTCTGAATTCATCTACCACTATTCTGGAATTTTCATGAAAGAAACCATCACATGCTTCTAGAGGATTTTCTTGTCTAACTTTCCTTCCACTGTTGCTTATAGTTTTTGTTGTTCATGTTGGAGCAAAAGAGACCCACCAGTTTACTGGTATTTTATCTGGACAATCTGCCAATATATTGTTTAAGAAAAATTCAAAGTTATTGTCTGAAAGAATTACGTCTTTTTAACACTGTGCTTAAAAAGCTTGTAGTTTTTATTGCAAGAAAAAAAGGACTGCACAAACTCCCTAGATAAATTCATATTGCATAATGATATTTTACCCTTCAAAAGCAAATTTAATGGGGTACTGTAACTCACTTTTCTCTGGTGTATAATGATTTTCTCTTGTCATCTATTCTTTGTGTCATTGCTAAATCATGCTGCATAGCTTTAAGACTTTTTTTTTTTTGTGCATCAGGTGCCTCTGAGTTATTTTTATTTTCTTCTTTTTTCTTTTTTTTTTCCAATTTGCTTATACCTTCCAGCAATGGGAAAAGGATGCAACAGACAGCTTTTAGTGTGGGGAATGTTGCCTRTACTGGGAAATGTTGAAGAATAATGCACTTCTATTTTGATGTAAAAGCCAGAATAGACAGTGGTCTAGCTGATAGAAAGTCACTGTTCCAGTCACWGGGAAATGAGTGTGCACCCTTTTCTGAAGGTTCAGGTTTGTCACTGATGGATGGATGGTTCCACTACATATGTCAGACCCAGCATTTGCAATTAACCCTGATGGAGGTAGTTTAAGAATTCTTAGTGGAATCAAAATAAATGCTGAAGAATAATCTAAAAAGAATAATCTAAAATCRTCAGTGCTTAAAGTCTACCAAAAAACATGGAAGGTACAAAAAGGAATGCACCAGCAAGGCAGATGAACAGTAATTCCTTAAAGCAGAAATAAAACTTGCCCAGTGAAAAACATGCCCAAAGCTTTTCTAAACCTGCTGTTTTGCAGATATCGACGAGTGTGCCTTAAAGATCCACACGTGCTGGAATGATTCAGCCTGTGTGAACCTGGCAGGAGGCTTTGACTGCCTCTGTCCGTCCGGACCGTCCTGCACCGGGGACTGTCCCCACGAAGGCGGCGTCAARCGCAACGGGCAGGTGTGGACCCTGAGAGAGGACAGATGCTCCGTTTGTTCCTGCAAGGTGAGGTCCAGCTGGGCTGGGTTTAAGGAATCCTTTCATTCCCTGTGGCACAAACCCGTTACTGCAATGCTGCTGGTGTTGGTGAGTGTTAACCTGAGCCCGAGGCACTGAGGCACAGGTGAGCTCTGCTGCGGGCACCGAAGCTGCCGTGGAGATGTTCTCCTGGGAAAGCTTTGCTTTTCTTACTTTGCACACCCACACAATCACTGAGTAATGGCTAACCCTGCTCAGCTTCTGCCATGTCACCTGGTGGGTGAGAGCATCTCAAAATGTGCCTTGAAGAGGGTCTTGTGTTACCCTTTAACTCAAAGTGCAGGGTCCAGCACGCTTACTAGAAATGCTGAAAGCTGCTTTTAATTCCTCTTACCCAGAAAACTGTTGCCTTTTGATTGGTCTTACAATTGTGAGGCAGACAAGGTTACGGGGATAAAAGGGTTTTATTTTGGTGTTTAATGGGATCCTGGTGCACAGCTCTTCAGGATGGAATACTGAGATGCACCCCCACATAACACAGATACAAGTTTTATAAACATCACAAATCAGCATTTATGTCTAGAATCCCCCAATGAGAAACTTAACAAATGCAGTAACATCCCCCTATTCTAAAGAACCCCCACCCCAGATGAGGCCAGAGCCCATTCACACAATGTGTCCCAGAGAGAAGGTTTCAGCCAAGGTTGGACCCTCGAGTTTTGAGACAGCCCAGGACTCACCCTACTGGGGATGTTTGGTCTTTCTGCCCAGCAGGACCCCAAAACTGAGCTGGAATATCAGGCTACAAAAATTACAAGCATTTAGGCAAGGGGTGCAAGGAATATATAAAGGATACAGAAAATATCTAAAAGGGTATAGAAAATATATAAAGGGGTATATAAAAAGAAAAGGCAAAAATCATCAGGCATCATTATGAATATGCATCTCTCATCACTGTGCTCAGCCAATTTCCTGTTGACTGTGTTTCCCTTTGCATGGAAAACATGTAATTTAACTGGGTGAGAGAAAAGGTCTGAGYATGAGTCAAAGGTTAGAAGACCCAGCAGCAGGCATTTAAATTTCCTCAAAGTGAAGCAGGRTGAAGGCCAGCTTCTTACTCCCCATCCCAGCTTGGCTGTGGTGGCAGCTCTCCCACGTGAGCATTGCAGCTCTCTCTGCACCTTTGGAGAAGCCAGGTCTGCTATCAGTGGATGTACCTTAAGGAGTTAACATTTAGATCACAGTGGAGTGTTTTTGTTGTTGTACCTCCTGCCTTTGAAATTTACTTTTTTTTTCCCTCCCTGAGTGTGGTAACTAAGTTAGAAGAAGTTAAAAGAGCATTTGTCTCTGCTCTCTTGATTTTCACTGGTCAACAGAGGAAATCTGAAGGATTTCAGCCCTCATCTGACAAGTGGTTGGTCTTTCGTGGTCTCTCTGACTTGGTTCATTCATTCCATGGGTCAGGATGTCCAAAGGCACAGCACAGCACTACGGACCCATAAAYGAGCTCAAGTGAAATTCACTTTTGGCCTCTGTGAAGAGCTGAAGGTTGATCTTGGGAGTTGCCCTGTCAGTCTCATCTGGCTTGGGAGCCAGAGAAGCACAAGAGGGTTTGTGGGGGAACAAAGGGAAGGAGGTGTTTTGAAGCTGCAAGAAGCTGAAAGCCTTTCTGTTTTGCAATGGTGCAGCAGAAGGGAAAATTAAGACTTCTGAGTGAGTAGAACCTACAAAGTACGCYGCTGGTTTGGGTTCAGCAGGGAATATGTTCTTGTTAGTTGCTGTGTTTTTCACTTCAAGTAGCCTCAAGCTCCCTAAAACTCCTCCTTTCAGAAGCTAAAGTGWACAACTGCAGTGAATATATATCAAGATTTTTTTCAATCCTGGGGAACTGTCAAGCTTATGAAAGGATTTCCAGTCAATAGAGTAAATAGTTTAATATATGTGAAGACATCTGGTCTGCCTTTSCAGAATTGTAACTATTAGTATTCATATTTTAGATTGCTTGTTATTTATTTGCCATTTCACACTGCATGTATTTCTTATGCTGAATGTTATTAAAACACAGAAGTGATTAACTAGTACATAGTTTTAACTAAGCCTGACACTGTTGTTATGACTCTTACTATATGTCCTCCTSACTTGAGTTTTTTCCTCTGTGAATTAATATTTGCATTTAATTTYGTTTCTGTAGCTGCCTGTCCCAAGAGCCAAATTCTTGTCTGTAGAGCAGGGAAGACAGGGAAGACAGGAAGAGCTCCTATCACATCTCAGGCAGAACATAAAGTCTTCACTCAATGTTTAATGAAATGTATTTTTTTTACATCCTGAGAGCTTCCATACACCACAATACCCATACTTCTCAAACCTCTCCTTTTCAAGCAGTTGCTCGGAGAACTGTCCCTGATCTTTTGCAGCCTGCTCAGTGTGCAGTGAGGAAAAGCAGAATGTAACTGAACCATTCTTGTGCTTCTTACTCAGACTTTGAAATGATCCTTCTTACTTGTTTTATCCAGGAGGCAAATTCAGCATTTCAGCTGTAACATAAAACTCTTTTTTTTCTTTTGCTGTAGTTACTCTAGGAAGGGTCAGGTGGATGTATTTTTTGCATTGGCTGAAGCACATAGGTAACATCTTTAAAATATTTTAGCTTATAATTCAATGCCAAGGAAATTAAATACCTTACTTAATGAACTTCAAAGGTATTTGTGAAGTAGGATACTTTGATATATAGGAAATTATATTGCTTCTGTTATACAGTGAAGCTAAGTGTCATCTGTTGAAGCACCGGGTGTTCCAGTGTTTCACCTGACCCAGGGTCTTCAAACCATTCTTGTCCATCTGAATGCACAGAAAGTTTAAAAAATCATGAATTCTTTAAACTATGCAATAGCATTGTACCTTAAGTATATCTGACATGTATTGTACAGTCATCTGTCTGAACTGTTGTGGTTTTAACAGACTATCAGATTTAAGGCTGATGGAATTTGGAGTGGAGAGCTATTGTGCTCTKTCATGAAAAGAGCCAAGCCTGGCTGTGTAGTCTGTCTGTATGGAGGCTTTTCAGACTCTCTTTTGATTAGGACAGCCCTCACTTCCCTATGGGAAAAGCCTGGGAGATGCACACAGCCCTGGGAGCAGGGGCATCTGCCAAGCTGGTGTGTGTTCCTGAGGATGAGAACCATTTGGTGCTTTGGTTTTTGCAGGATCTAATTTTTCTCCAATCTGGTTTTGGGATTCTGTGAAAACTTGAGCTACCCTTAACAGTGATTCTCTTGTGTGTCAGTTTTTCCTTTGATGAGAACAATTCTATCTTCATACCACTAATGCTTTTGAAGAATTTAGGACTGATTCAGTGAGCATGGTGGGAAGGAAGAGGTAGTAATAAGATGCTGTATGTTATTACTCACCTAAAGAAAATTTAAAAAAAGAGATTTATTTATATATATATTTCTCAATTTTCTGTGTATTTCTCAGGGCTACTGCTGAGCTGCAAAGATGTGCATGAGACAGTGTAGCTTCAGAGGCTTTGTGTCACTGCTCTATGGGGGTGAAATTGTTTTTTGAAAGAGTTTGTACACTAACACAGATGCTTGGAGATGAAACAGAGTGGCAGTATATTACAATTACCAAAAGTTCTCTGGCAAAATCATCAGGTTTTGTCAGTGCTGTGAGATATGGAGAGCAAAGACAGCRTAAAACCTACTCAGGGAAGCACTAAAACCTACTCAGAGCTAGCAGCACTGTCACCAGCTGAAAGGGGAATTTGGAAAACTAATCTTGAAAGCTTAGAAACTTAGAGTTGAGTCTAAGGAGACAGGCCGTTGTTAGCCATTGTTAATCAGCACAGGAGAGGTAATAGACTCAGAGCAAGGTTCTCAAGAAAGTAGGAAAAAATCTGCAATGAAATGAATGGAAATGTTTTAGGAATTGTATAGTTTTGATCCAAAGCAGCATATAGCTTTATCCAGGCCCTCTGTAATACATTAACTGCATTATGTGAGTTATGCAGTGAATGATGGTAAGTTCTGTTATCTTTAAACTGGTGTACTGCAGGTCCAGATGTGGGACAGACACATTGGGGAGGTCAGAATAAAGAACAATTAGTGCTATTGTGATTGTGTTGTATTTTACTCTGATTAAGTTGAAGGGACCACCTTCATTARCTTGTTTTCTTCACAGTGATGCATTCAGTTAAAACAATGCTAAACAAATATTATATATATTAGAGTGGCAACTGCTTGAGGAGTTTSTTGATGTAACCAATGAGATATGAAATTGCTTCACTGTGTTTCTCCTGAGATAGTGACTGTTTTTGAATCCAGTTAGCTGGAGACAGGAAAACAGTATTCTCAGATTCAGACWGATCTGACAGAAATTGGGATAGCACTGGTACTTGTTGTGCTACAGCAGGCAAGATCCAATCCTTGTGGGCATGGAATACAGTGAGAAATTAATATTTCCTGTCGCTGCKGGCCAAACAGCGACATAAAAGAATAGATACAAAACACACAAAAATGGGTGAAAAAACAGAAAGAAAGAAGGAAGGACTTTATTGTGGGACAAGCCTCTTTTATCCACTTTAGCAACCAGAGTATACATTTGTGTCAAACATACATTGGTCAAGAGACAGCTGTTTAATTAGTAATCAGAACATAATTGGTGAGTTGGCAAAAGCTACATTATTAGTAATGCTTATAATTTTAGCCACCTGCGTTATCAATTCTGCATTCCAATCTGCTTTTCTCAAGGATGCAGCATTCCTCCTCCATGTAGGCTGTTAACATCCTTTTCTTTTCTCAGGCCTCAGTTATACACATAATTGGCTGAGTTTCAGAATCAGGGCTTGTGGGGACCTTTTCCCCCACAATTTCCTGATAAGCCAAAGACGTGCTCTTTGAGTTTACACCCTGTACTTTGTCTGGGTCGCTGTCTGGCATTTTGTGGTTGACATCAGGGCAATGTGTCCTCACAGGACGGGAGGATTTTCTGCCGGAGAACAGCCTGTGACTGCAGGAACCCCAGCGCTGACCTGTTCTGCTGCCCCGAGTGCGACACTCGCGTCACCAGCCAGTGCCTGGACCAGAGCGGGCACAGGCTCTACCGCAGCGGGGACAACTGGACCTACAGCTGCCAGCAGTGCCGCTGCCTGGTAGGAGCAAAGTGTTTGGGGACCAGGGAAGGTGATATTTTTTAGCAAAGCAGACCTGGAGGCAGGCTCGTGGCTCTTTCTTCACTTGCTTTTCCAGCTGGGGGTGGTGATAAAGCCCCAGGGAGCTGAAGGCTGCACCGTCAGTTTTCCTCTTTCTGCTGGATAAGTAGGTCTAGTGAGCAAAATGAAAAGCTGGACAAAAGCTTGCAGACCTTGGCATTGTATTAATTTTGGCATTAGCCTGCTTTTGAGAACTTTTATAAAATCGTTTGGTCTTTAAATGACATTTTTCAAACCTTTTACATGTGTTGAGTTGGTTGGAGAAGTTTCAGTTTTTAATTACATCTGCTGTGCCTGTCTTGTCAAAAGAGACAGTGACATTATTAATCTATCTATCTATCTATCTATCTATCTATCTATCTATCTATCTATCTATCTATCTATCTATTCATCTATTTATTGATTTATTTATCTTATTTATTTATTTATTTATTTTGATAAAACGAATCTGTAATCATGGAGTGCCACTGTGTAATAAATGAGAAAAAAAATCACCATATAAAGGAGGATAAAGGTGACTGAAATTACTAGAAAAACACATAAAATAACGACTACTTATTTTCTCATTCGATACTATAGATTATAGCCTTAAAGCTTTAAGTTTTCCAATAGATATAGTAATTAGTGCATCAATRAAGTTTGTTAACTCCATTTACAGCTGTCTGTATAACATAGTCATTTTATATGATACTAATCAAGAGAAGTCTGACCATCAGGAAGGAAATCACATTGAAAGCCAAGTTACTGCCRTGAGATAATTATCCATAATGCACAGAGTAAGCGTTGAGGTTGTGGCTTGTGGTTTCTTGCCTAATTTTATGATTGGGATAACACCCAAAGCTGTAAGACAGCAATGCTCTGGATCAGTGTTGTGTGTCAGGTTGTGTGTGTGGTGTTCTCAACAGCTGAAGTGTTCACAGAGTAGTGTAATCCAAGTTATTGAAGCCCGTTCCAGGTTAAATTTAGACACACAGGGCAATAACACTCTGCAGAAGTGACCTGATGTTTCTCTCTTCTCCATATCCCCTATCTGCTAAACTGTTTCAGGTTTTTTTTCCAAATAAAAATAACAATAAAATAAATAAAGGAATAAAACGAGTCAGTGGGAACACAAATGGTATTGCTCTAACAATTCCTGCAGGAGCTGACAATAAAGTCAATATTGGCTGTTGCTACTCAGATCGATGTTCAGTGCTTCTCGAATGTACCAGCCCACATCTATCTGCGGTGTTAATTTTTTGTTTAAACGCTTGCTGTGATCCCGCAGAGATGTTTATGTGACCAGGAATAGAAAGAGTGCGTGAGTCTGCAAGGCAATCACAGCAAAAATTATAGTTTGTAGAAAATATTAGTACCCAGTACTTAACCCTGCCTTCAAAAACCCCAAAGAACTCAAGTTCCCCTGCTACGATGATGACAGAGTTGTTGTTTAGTCAAGAATCAACCAAATGATAATCTGCCACATTTGGGAAGCTTCAGCTCAGGATTCAGACATGCATTTGTATGATCAGCTGAGGTCTGAACCATTCAGTTTCTTGCCATTTCAGCAAAACGAAGCTTTTCCATTCAAAAGGGTGCAGAGTTCCTGGGCTGTTCATAAATGGCAAGTTCAGTGACATTTTTCTTCAATTTTTACAGGAAGGAGAGGTGGACTGTTGGCCTCTGCAGTGCCCAACACTGAGCTGTGAGTACACAGCCATCTCTGAAGGGGAGTGCTGTCCTCACTGCGTCACTGACCCCTGTCTGGCTGACAACATCACCTACGACATCAGGAAAACCTGTCCRGATGGCTACGGGGTCACCAGGCTGAGCGGCGCCGTGTGGACCATGGTGGGATCTCCTTGTACAACCTGCAAGTGCAAGGTACAGTGGGCTGGCTGGGATGGGAATAGAATGGAATGTACCTGCATCAAATCAGGGTCTGATGTACCTGCATCAAATCAGGGTCTGATGTACCTGCATCAAATCAGGGTCTGATGAACCTGCATCAAATCAGG